TACAATATTGTTGACTGTAGGCGATATGCTCTGGAGATCTCCAGAACCCATTCATCCAGCATAACTGAAAAGTAGCACTTGAAAGTTCCTTAAATATTCTCCTCTTGACTAATACTTGTTGATACATTTAAGTTTTTTTTCTTGAAGTATCATTGACATACAATACCCTATTCATTTCAGTAGTACATCATAGTAATTCAATAGTTTGGTATGTTGTGAAATGATCCCCATGAGAAATCTACTTAACCAGGCATGGTGGTTACAATATTATGGACCATATTCCTTCTGCTGTCTCTTACGTCCTCTTGACTGACTTATTTTATAACTGGAAGATTGCACCTCTTCATCCCCCTCACCTATTTTGACAACTCCCCAACCCATCTCCGCTCTGGTAAACAGCAGTGTTTTTCCTGTTTCTGTGAATCTGTTTCTGCTTTGTCTGGTTTGTTCATTTGTTTCATTTTTTAGATTCCATGTATAAGTGAAATCATATGGTATGTGTCTTTCTCTGATAGATTTCACTCTCCTTTCACGGTACTGCGATGATGTCACAAATCCTAATATTTCATTTTTTTCTAGGGCCAAGTACTGTTCTACTGTATATATGCCTCATCTTTCTTATCAGTTCCTCTATTGATGGACATTTAGGTTGTTTCCATATCTTGGCTATTGTGAATAATGCTGCAGTGAACATCAGTGTGCATGTATCTCTTCAGATTAGTGTATTTGTTCTGTTCAGATAAATACCCAGACGTGAAATTGCTGGGTCATAGGGTAACTTGTAACTTTTTGACGAACCTCCATTCTGTTTTCCATAGTGACTGCATCAATATATATTCATACCAACTGTGTACGGTGGTTCTTCTTTCTCCACATCTTCACCAACACTTGTTTTTGAGTTTTTGAGCTTAGCCATTCTGACAGGTGTGAGATGTTATCTCCTGGCGGCTTTGATTCACATTTCCCTGATGATAAGTGATGCTGAGCATCCTTTCATATACCTGTTAGCCATCTGTATGTCTTCTTCATAAAAATGTCTAATCAAGTCCTCTGCCCATTTTTTAATTGGGTTGTTTGTGTATTTTTTATATTAAATTGTAATGGTGCTTTATATATTTTGAATACTAACTCCTTATCAGATGTGGGATTTGCAAATGTCTTCTCCCATTTGGCAGGTTGCCTTTTCATTTGTTGATGGTTTCCTTTGCTGTGCAAATGCTTTCTAGTTGGATATAATCCCATTTGTTTATTTTAACTTTTATTGCCCTTGCCTGAAGAGACTGGTCCAAAAATGATTGCTAATACTGATGTCAGAGAGCTTACCACCTATGTTTTCTTCTAGGAGATTTTTGGTTTCAGGTCTTACATTGAAGTCTGTAGTACATTGTGAATTTATTTTTGTATATGGCCTAAGATAGTGGTCCTGTTTGGTTTTTTGGTATGTAGCTGCCCAGTTTTCCCAGCACCGCTTATTGAAGACACTGTCTTTTCCCCATTGTATATTATTGCCTTCTTTGGTACAGCTATAGTGACCATATGTACATGGGGCTCTCTGAACTATTCCTTTGATCTTTGGGGTGTGTGTGTGTGCGTGTGTGTGTGTGTCCACGTGCCAGTAGCAGACTATTTGGATTACTATAGTTTTATAATATAGTTTGAAATCAGGGAGTGTGAAACCTTCGGTTTTCTTTTTTCTTAAGATTGCCTTGTCTATTTGGGTCTTTAGTGGCTCCCTATAATTTTAGGACTCTGTTCTAATTCTGTGAATAGAGACATTCATTGTCCCCTTTGACATTTTCATGGGGATTGCACTGAATCTGTAGATTAAGTAGTATAGACATTTTAATAATGATAAATTTATTCAATCTATGACCATGGAATGTCTTTTCATTTATTCATGTCTTCTTCAGTTTCTTTCTTCAAAGTCTTATAGTTTTCAAACTACAAGTCTTTTACCTCCTTGGTTAAGTTTATTCTTAGGTATTTTATTCTTTTTGATGCAATCGTAAATGGGATTGTTTTTTGTAAAGTTTATTTCTTTTGAGAAACAGAGAAAGTGTGAGCAGGAGATGCAGAGAGAGAGAGGGAGAGAGAGAATCTCAAGCAGGCTCGACACTGTCAGTGCAGTGCCCAACACAGGGCTTGATCTCAGGACCGCGAGATCATGGCCTGAGCCAAAATCAAGAGTCAGTCACTTAACCGACTGAGCCACCCAGGCTTTCTGGGATTGTTTTCTGAATTTCTATCTCTGACAGCTGGTTATTAGTGTATAGAAGAACAACCAATTTCTGTTTGTTAATTTTGTATCCTCTAATTTTACTCAGTTTATTTATTAGTTCTAGCAGGTTTTTGATGGAGTCTTTAGGGTTTTCCATATTAAGTATTACGGCATCTGCAAATAGTGACAGGTTTACTTCTTCCTTTCCAATTTGGCTGCTCTTTATTTCTTTTTCTTGCCTATTGCTGTGGCTAGAACTTCCAGGACTATGTCACATAAAAGTGGAAGAGTGGACCTACTTGTCTTTTTCTTGATCTTATAGGAAAAGCTCTCAGCTTTGCACCACTGAGTATGATGCTAGCTGTGGGCTTGTCACTATTTGTCATATATACCCTTTATTATGTTATGGTGCCTTCCTTGTATACCCACTTTGTTCAGAGTTTTTAATCAGTAAGGTTTCCTTTTAAGTGATCCATTTCATTAGGATTTTCATATTTATTACCTATAATTGATTCTAGCATTTTTATATTTTTTATTTTTTTAATGTTTGTTTATTTTTGAGAGAGAGAGCACGCACAAAAGTAGGGGAGGGGGCAGAAAGAGAGAGAGAGAGACACAGAATCCAAGGCAGGCTCCAGGCCCTGAGCTGTCAGCACAGAGCCCGTGCAGGGCTCGAACTCACAAACCATGAGATCGTGACCTGAACTGAAGTTAAGATGCTTAAACGACTGAGCCACCCAGGCACCTCTATATTTTAATATTTTTTAATTCCCTGTGTTCTTTCTCCACTTTTTTTTTCATTGATCTAACTTGCCAGAAATTTGGCTTACTGACTTTTACAGACATCCAGGTCTTAGATTTATTTATCAGTTCTACTCTTTTTTGACTAATTGATTCAGTCATTTCTGCTTCTTTCTCTATTGATTCTTCCCTCACTTTCTTTAAATTTACTTTATGTCTGCTAGGCAGGCTTGTATAAATAAATGGTGAGCTAGCAAGAGCCCAAGTTTATTAACTCCCACATCATGGCCACACACACTGTAGGACTCTGGGTGTTCTATCGCCATCTCCAACTCCCTACCATTCCAGTGCCCCTCGGCCCCACAGTTCTGTCTCTGTGCTCTTGACTTACACCCTCCTGACCAAAACTCTATGATCTATCCAACCTGAACCCTGTTCCTCCCTCTACCAAATTCACAGTGTAAGGAAATTATCCAGATAAGTTACTATTTCCTCGTTGAACAAAAAAGAGTCAGAGAAGGGAGATCCACTTTCATATTCTAAGCAGCCCTCCAGATGTGTCTTTGTTAGAGCCCTGGTTGCCTCCTCCAGCCCAGTGGCCTGATCTGCACACCTGGAACTCTCCCCCAGAACCACCAACAAAGAAAAACTGGGAAATGACTCGGATGTATTGTTGTTAGGTCTCTTTGTGGTTGTCACAGGGTGCCTCTGAGCACTTGTTACGGAAACAGCTCGGGGCTATTCTGAAGGTGGGTTCGTGCCCTTTGCTGGTTGTCCATTTGGCTTTCTCCTCAGCCCCCCAGCTTTGCCCCACCAGTGAACCAGAGAAAAGACTTGAATCTCAGAATGAGTTAATGAGATTATTAATGGGCTCCCGAGGAGTTTTGAGAGGAACTGCACAGTCCATGTCTCATGGGGCACTGGAGTTTTTCCTTTGTCCCCAGCCACGCACAGATCACTGGACATCTTGCTCATGTTCTGGGATCCCCTGTGGCCTCCTTCATAAGCATCAGTTTGTTCTACCTCTGGTCCCAAGAAAAATCTCTCTCCTAAAGTACTGGGAAGCTTTCTTTTCTCAGACAATAGGGGCTTCCAGATACCTCTGGGAAAATATAGTGGCCTGCTTCGGGAAGAACCCATCTTCTACTTTTCCACAAGGTGTGTGTTGAGTTTAATATCCAGGTGCCTTTACATAAACTCTTAGAAACCCGTTTTGGAAGTATGTTGAGTAAAATAAATGGATAACTAAGAGCCCTCAATTCCACTGAAAATGATAATTATTTTATTTCCTGGGCCCACAGCTAGGAGTAGGAGGGAAGATGCTCTAAACAGTCTTCATTTTCTCCAGGCATTTCCCCCACAGACAGCCCAAGTAGGAAAGGCCAGTGATCTGTGGTGGGTGCTGACACTTCGTCCATCCTTGTTTTTCTGATGAGTGGGACAATCACATCCTTGGCCCTAAATTTGACTGACAGGGCTCATGGCTGAGTTACTCAAGGCACACTTGCCTTTCATCCATGGTGTGGGGGGTAAGAAGTGGAGAAATAACAGTGATCCAATAGAATGATCCATGGACTTCCCCGGAGTGGTGATGTAATTAGCAGCCCTGCCAGTCAGTGACCATAAGTGCTTTGTGAAGCACTTCCTGCAAAAAATTAAGCCCCTGTCCAATGGCTTTCCCATAACAGAAATAATATATCTGAATTTTATTCATTTAGAAATAAATTTGCGGTGGCTGTTGCTCTTTACATGTAGCAGCTGAGTAGCATTAAATATTTGGATGTCTTTCTGATCATATTTAGAATAATGATGAAAGCTATGAATTACAGGGTACAAAGGCTGACATGTTTATTGCTTACAATCCATTTTATAGCCCTTTCTTTTAGGGCTTGAGTTGCTGAATGGGATGATGGTAAGCGGGTTACAAAGAGAACTCTAGAATTGCCTGTCGGTTCACCCCTCTGGAGCAGGTCTCAGGGCCAGAGCTCAGGCCTGAGGCTAGGCAGGGGCTCTCTCTGACCAGCGCCAACTTCATCCACAGTCCCGCCAGTCATCCGTGTGTATCCTGAGACCCAGGCACAGGAGCCCGGCGTGGCAGCCAGTCTGAGGTGCCATGCAGAGGGCATTCCTATGCCCAGAATCACTTGGCTGAAAAATGGCATGGACATCTCAACCCAGATGTCGAAACAGCTCTCCCTTTTAGGTAAGAACTGCCCTCCATGTCTCTGTGCTATTCCCGTCAAGTTCTAGCTGACAGTTTCTCCAGGAATGGAAATAAGACACATGATTTGTTTCTAAGTCAGACATGCTGGGAGTGAACAAATGTATCCCCAAATTTTCCTGCTCTCTGGGTTCATGCAGGTCTTGCGGGCTTTTTGAGCACAATGATGACAAGCTGCCAGTCGGGTCCCATGCCAGCCTCAGTCATTCCAGCCCTTCCCAGCTGTGTTTCACAGTTGTTGGCTGCGCTCAGCCAAGGGGCTGTGTTTCTAACTTCAACACTGAATAGAAGGGAGACGGGATTGGGGGCGGGGGGAGGTCCCCAGCTGAGCAGACTATATTGAGCACTGTCCTTCCTCCAGCCAATGGGAGCGAACTCCACATCGGCAGTGTCCGGTATGAAGACACGGGGGCATATACCTGCATTGCCAAAAATGAAGTGGGCGTGGACGAGGATATCTCCTCACTTTTCATCGAAGACTCCGCTAGAAAGACCCGTGAGTTCCACTCTTTGCTTTGAGCTCCTCATTGAGCTGGTTGGGAGGTTTCAGGTTTAAGTGTACCAACTCACCAGAGCCACAGCCACCAGCCATGAGCCCCTAAAAACAGCTCTGTATGCTTCTGTGCTCAAAGCTGGGAGCAGAGAGGGCCCAAAGGTGAGCAGACCTTCCCTGGCAACCTACACAAAATAGAGAGAGGAAACGCCCTGGACACCAGACGGAGCCCAGGACCACAAAGAAGCTCACATAACCTAGCCCCAGTTCTGCCTCCCACTTGCTGTATGACTAGAGCCTCTGTCCCACCCCCACAGAATTCTTCATACTATGCACCCACCAGCCATTGGTGCGGACTCCATATACAATAGACTAGATAGATAGCAGTTCATGAATTGTATCAAAGGCTGCCATCCCACCATGGCCCAGGAACTGGCCTGGGAACACATGTACAAATAACCTTTATACTCCAGGGATTAGTGCCTACCCAGCATGTCCATGTGTTCCCCTTGTACCCATTGCCACCAAGTGGCTCTGCAGGTGCGATTTCATGGATGTGGGTGATAGACGTGGTCTCGTTCCCTTGTTCAAAGGCCCCAAGCGGAGTTTTCCTCGTCCACTGAGATCATCAGAAGTGTTTCAGATGGTCTTCCTAAGAGAATCCTAGGTGAAACTCAACGTGACTTCTAGAAATAATCCACAAACTCTGGCAGAGAGGTTGCTCATTCCCGTCAGCCACAGACATGGAGGATCCCATTGGTTCCTGTGATCCTGGGACCTGATTTCAAAGATTCAGTAGAAATTGCAAGAGTCCTGAGACCTGGAAACATGTGTCCATGTCCACAGTCCTGTCAGAGCACTGTTGCTGGGGTGGTGAGTGGTGCAGACTCTATACGTGATGGAGTAGGTAGCAGTATATCCAGGAATGGGATCCTTACAGTCAAGATTCTGACATTACTTTGTTCTTTTTCCTTCCCTCAATCATGTTCCTGCCTTCCTCTTCTCTGACGCTGTAGTTGCAAACATTCTGTGGCGAGAGGAAGGTACCAAGCTTACTTGTTCTTTTGTGCTTGTGATCGCCTATGTTCATCCTTCCATGATGGGCCATCTTTCCATGAGCCGCCCTCTGCTTTTGTAAACACCAAGCAGTCCTCACAAATTGGGGACCATGGGCCAGATCACATGGGAGGGATGGAGGTCAATGTCAAACTCAAATGGCACGTGCACAGAAGGAGATTCAAAACCTGTGTCTTTAATGGACCCCAGTCCATTAGAACTTAAAAGTGGAAAGCTGCCATCTAAAGCTATTTGAAACTCCTCACTGAAGGAGACTACTTGGCGGGGGCTCCTGGTCAGAATTGGCTTTCAACTTTTTTCCAGGAGCAAGTACTGGTGTTGGGGTTTAGTGTACACTTTGAGGAAATGCCAAAGAAAAAAAGCCACCCTGATTTCTGTAAACGTATGTTTACATGTATATTTACGAAGTGAATAGATTTTTTTAATGTTATCATGATCAAACAATCTTTGGGTATTATATTGGACCATAAAAATCATTTTTATGCATCAAAAATAGTCTAACCCTGACAGTTTCATGTGGTTCAAAAAATAGCAAGCCCATGTCAGAGCTGGGCTATAGAGCCTGAGTCACAGCTTGAGGTGCATGTGCATATGTGGACCTCGGCCCAGCGCAGCCTGTCCACCAGAGCAGAGTTGAGATCCCCTGGAGGTAACTTATTCTCTGCTTCAGCGGACCGGGTAGGGGGGGAGAAGTATGAGAAGCAGCAGAACATACCGTGTGATTTCAGGGCTAAACACTAAATCTCCCTCTTGCAAAACAGCATATTTCCCGTCTGAACGGGAAATCACACAGTGTTACGTAGTGTCTAGCGTGTGCATGCACACACAGGCTCAGAAGTTTCCCAGACATCAGGCATGGCAGCTCACGGTGGGTCTTGAGAGCAGAAGCGGGTCCTGGGAAATGAGGAATTGCTGCCAATAGGCCTTATGATTCCTTGGAAGAATAAGTCATAGCAACGGCCACTCATCATGGCCACTTGTCATAGGCCATAGGCCATGATGCACACAGAGAGCTGTGGGTCTTGAAGAGGTGGTAGTTTTCTAAGGTGACTTCATTATGAAGGGGCTCAAGTTTCAAAAGTGGAGGCCAGCGAAGAATGCAGGAGGCCCTCAGGTGTGTGCAATGCAGCCATTAGTGGCCCCCAACTTGAGGCCAGCTTAAGACCCATGCTGCCTCCAGGGTTCGGGCTGGCAGGTGCCGCCCTGCTCATGGGCAGCGCCGCACTGAACACATTCCACCCCATGTGCACAGCCAGGCTGGACCACTCAGAGCTGGAGACAGGGACATACAGAAAGAAAACCAAATAGGGCACAGGCCGCAGGGAACTGTCCAGTCTCCCCACGAGAAATGGGATGATGAGGGCACGCCAAAGCACAGAAAGCTCCTTGGGGCCCCCATAATCAAAGTTAACCTCACACAGAATCTTGCAGGGGCCTGGATCATAAGGCCATGTCTTCTGTGAAGTCAGGTGTTTGTGGAGTGTCACGCTACCTTGCGAACTGTGAGCAAGGCGCCGTGCTTGGCCTCGCACGTGGCTACCGCTGCAAACCCCACGTGGAGCCCACTGAGCTTTTGGTGTTAGGCTGCCTCAAGGAGCTGGCAATTTCCCAAGAGGCCCCAGGAGGCTGTTTCTGGGGTCTGTGCTTTTGCAAGAACTTTGACCCCTAGGTCTGAGCAAGAAAAGTTTGCCAGGTGAGAATGTGCAGAAGAGGAGGCCCTGCTGAGGCAAGACAGGTGGGGACAGAGTAAATATGTGCCAAAAGCTGGGATGCTGTGAGAGCAGAGAAGGGGCACTCCTGGGCGGCCGTTTGGTCTGGCTCTCACCCTGGGATTCCCCACTGGGATCTGTGCAGGGTGCTCCCAGCCACAACCAGCATCTGAGAGGCCAGGGTAACGCTGTTGCCAGTGACGGGAGCCCTCCTGCCCAGAGCCCCTCTTAGCACAGAACCAGAGGCAGTTAATAATGTGCCATGGAGTCAGGGACCTCTGTCCACACTGGGAACCACAGGCACGGCTGCTTCCTGGTCACCAGCACCTCGAGGCTCAGAAAACTGGCTGCAGAACTACTGGAAGCAGGTGGCATGGTGGCATATGTGCCTGTTTTATTGTTTTCTTTCTGTTTTTAATTCTTTGATGTTGTTTTTGAGAGAGCACGCATAAGCAGGGGAGAGGCAGAGAGAGAGTGAATCCCAAGCAGGCTACACACTGTCAGTGCAGAGCCTGACATGGGGCTCGAACCCACAAACCATGAAACCATAACCTGAGCGGAAATCAAGAGTCAGATGTTCAACCAATGCCCCTGTTTTACAGTTTTATCACGCTAAAAATCTTCCCCAGATAGTCAGTTAAGTCCATACACCAGTTTTCTCAGCATGCTAGGAAAAAGCATGTTTTTCATAGATTTAATATTCTTAGCATTTACAAAAATCTGTTTCATATTCTACCTTCCCGAGAAATGTAGTGAGGGAGAAAGAGAAAGGGAGGGGGACTCAGACCTCACCTGTCTTTGTGCCATGTTTACCTTTTATGGAGAGGCGTGGCGAGGGGACAGAGCCCAGAGCCTGGGTCAGGGTCCAACCCCAGCTCTGGCATACATGCAAGCAGCCTCCACCAAGCCTCTTGCCTTCCTTGAATCTCAGGGTTTTTTGTCTTTATAGTAAGGAGACTGAACTAGCTGGTCCCAAGATCCCTTCTCTGCTGGTCTGAGGGCATTTCTACCCATGTGACCATAGCCCTGGGTGGTGATGGGAGCAGGCAGGTGGGTGTGATCAGGCTGTGGGCTGCCACGGGGCTGCCACAGCTCAGGTCATGATCTCATGGTTTGTGGGTGTGAGCCCTGCATTGTGCTCTGTGCTGACAGCTCAGAGCCTGGAGCCTGCTTTGGATTCTGTGTCTCCCTCTGTCTCTGTCTCTCCCCTGCTCATGCTCTGTCTCTGTCTCTCTCTCTAAAATAAACATTAAAAAAAAAAAAAAAAGGGCAGAGGTAGGGCAATCTGTCTTGAAGGAGGAGTTTTCTGGCACAGGCAGGGCAGGACTAAGCACAAATGAGTACCAGGCACAGCACTCTCAGCACCCGGTGTTCCAGGCAGTAGCGCTCTATGTAAACGTGTTTTAAAATAAGATCTTTTGTTTTTCTGGCCTGAACTGATCCATACTGATCTGACTAACGGACGACAAGTAAACAAGGAACGCTCTGATTTTCAGAATAGGAAAGGGCACGTGTATGTCAAAGCCAAGGCTGTGCTGGTGTCCAACCCGAGGTGCCCTAGGGCAGAGGGGTGTGTCTGGAAGGAGATCCTGGGGCCTGCGGAGTCCTTGATAGGCTGTAGTGCTTTGGAACCCTCTGGCGCTTTGTCTCCTTGCTCCCCACACACCACTTGCTCATCTCCCATCACCTTGAGCTGGACTTGCATTTCACACCTTGACCGCAAGCACCCAAACCGCAGGTTTCATGTGTGTGTGTGTGTCGTGGCATGTGAGCCTGCCGAGGGGCCGGCTGCTGGGGGCAGCATAGCCATGGCTGTGTTTGCCCCTCGCAGGCCTCAGTGTGGGAAATATGTTCTATGTGTTCTCGGACGATGGCATTACCATCCTGCACCCCGCGGACTGCGAGGTCCAGAGGCGCCTCAGACCCACTGAGAAGATCTTCATGAGCTATGTAAGTTTCTGTGCCGGGGGCCCTCACACGCCAACAGCATCCTGAACATCAGGCTTGGACTGGTGTGCCCCTTGATTTCAAAATTCCATTTGCTAGATGAGGTGTGGCTCCACATGCGCACTAGGGCTCAGGGAGGGTCATGTTGGCTGAGGGTTTAAGTTCTCACTCCTTCCTCAGGCAGCCCCTTCTGTGCACAGAGCCTGAGGTGGCACCCAGGGCTTGTTTCTGGTCCCCACAAGTTCATAGAGAAAGGACGGACACAGCGGTGTGAACAGCCAGCCAAACCAGTGCACTGGAACATTGAGGAACAAGGCCTCTCCTGACTGGCAAGAGCAAAGTTAGAGAAGTCTCCCGAGCAGGTGACACCTGGGCTCAGGTTTGAAGGACAAGCAGGAACTGATGATTTCTAAAGGAAATGTTATGCATCCAGCACACAGAGGCATAAGCCGTCAGGTCACTGCTGGGGAATCGCAAATCCTCTGTATGCCTGGAGGGAAGCGTGGATGTGAGAAAGGCCCAAGATCAGGATGACAGGAGACAAGGGTCAAAGCTGATGCATTTTAAAGGTATTCTTAAAGATCTGGGGACCTCTGGAGGACTTGACATGAAGCATGGCCCTGATCAGGTTGGTTTAGAACAGGTGCAGAGCCCCAGTGAGGGTAGTGACCGGAAGGACTGGACTAGATGCACAGAAGCAGGGGAGGAGACTGTTGTGATTATCCAGGTGAGAGATGGCAGGGACCTTGTCAAGCCAGTGGCAGTGGCAATGGGAAGAATTGAGTTGATTATAGTGCAATCACAGGTCAGATCAACAGAGAGGATGAGCAAAACCTGGGGTCTTGCTGGGAGGAGCAGAGTGCCCTTCACTCCGGAGGAGAGGCAGGTTGGGGGGATACAGTTCGTTCTCTAACTCTCTCTCAGGCATGTGCCCCATTCCCAGTCTGGTGCCGGGGACCCCACAAGCAGGGCAGATAGGCTTCCCGCCAAGCAGATGACGGTGGCCTGTGATGCACTGAAATTCAGATGCCTACGGGACACAAGCATAGAAACATCCAGAAGGACAGGGACAGGGAGTGGCATACCAATGGTGAGTTGGAGAGCCCTTGGCTTCTGGCAGGCAAAAGAAGTTGCTTTAAGGAAGCCTGGAGAACACAGGTCATAAAACCTAAGGGAGGCCAAGTTGACAAAAGGAAGAGGTCCTTAACCAGTCAGTAGAGGAGGTGACCCTGGAGGTTCTCAGGGGCCCCCAAGGAACCAAGGGAGAGAGCATAAAACATGTGCATGTCTCAAGGGTCAGAGGTGCTACAAAGTATGAGGCCAAATGCAAAGTGGCAATACATGGACAGAGGCAGAAGAGATCATTGCCAGTAGTAGGTCTCAGAAAGCCCTTCTAGCCCTCAAGACCTTGTCCACACGTGTCCCCCAGGCTGTGCTTCCCCACCTCCCCTCACCCCACTCCAACTTACCCTTCCTCACTCCCACCCTACCCTACCCCACCTCGCCCTTCCTCACCCCACCCCAACTTAACCCCTTCTTACCCCCACGGCACCCTACCCCATCTCACCTTGCCTCACCCCACCCCTACTTACCTTCCTCACCCCCACCCTACCCTACCTCACCTCACCCCACCTCACTGCCTCTCCCGCTGATATCCCACTTGGCATTGTGTTGATGGTTTCTTGCATGAGGTATGACCTCTTCCACCAAATCCTAGCTACTTGAGGTTAGAACTATGGCATTAATGTGAAAGGGTCCTCTCAAGCCCCCCCATGCCATCCCCTTGAAGACACACAGTGAATGAACTGGTGACCCTGCCAGGCCTGGGGCTCCTGGAGCAAGTGGGCTGGGCCGGCAAGTCCTCACAACCAGCTTGCAGCATTGCTGTGCTGGCCATCAGTAGGTCTCCTGCAGCTGCATTTCTCACATTGGTAGCTTTGAAACAGCTGCTTTCCAGGCTATATCACTTAAATTAATCATTTTTAGAAGTGTTACCCCTGATGAATTTTCCTTCCATGTAATAGCCGTGAAACCAACTAGAAAGAGTGGTTCTAGTTAACTTCTGGCAGTTAGGTTTAAATAATTGTACCTTGCCATATTGGCACTAATTTCTCATAGATTTGCAATAACGTAACCTGTAGCTTGAGGGAAATTGCTCACATCCCATCCGCAACTCAAATTTCCCAAAAACCTAGGACAAGACATGGTAAGAGATTGGTCTTTGAGTGGATCGGGCATACAGTAAGCTGTGGCACAGTCCGAAACAACAGTGTGCTCTTCTAGAAAATGCCCAACACCTCGCAAGAGGGTTGCAATAAAGCAAGCCTTTTATAAAAGTGCCGCGTGAATAGGAGGTTGGTGCCTCCTCTCTTGTGGCCCTCTGTTGGATTAGGTCTCCCCGTTGCCCAGTGAGCTGCAGTAACGTGGACTTGGTAAGGGCACAGGCTTCTGAACCAGGCACACCTGGGTTCTGATCCCACTTTTGTCACTGGAGGCCTTGGTGGCTTTAGGAAAATTACCCAATGCTTCCCAGCCTCTGTTTTCTCATACATAAACTGGCATCACTGTGAGGTTCAAATATGACCATGATGACAGACAGCGGCAAGAGTAGAAGGCAAGAAGAGCTCTGCTCCAAAGCTATTGCAGTCACTTAGGAAAGAACCAGAAAGTATGTAAGCTCAGGAATTTGGAGGTCATCCCCATAGTCCTTGGTGACTGACGGCACAGGAAAAGGAAGCATGCTTGATCTTGGCTGGCAAGCTGCTGCTAAAGACCCGGCAGAGGAGCAAGTGTGGAGGAGAGGAAGAGCTCAGGGGTGGATTGCCAAGTATGAGAGGGCTGTGGGACAACCAAGCCAGAACACTGGAGAAGGTGGCTCTGAGCTAAACACACAGACCTGGGAGCCATGGGCATATGGGTACTGACTAAAGCCCGGGCGGTAGACAAGACAGACCACCAAGGGTGTGTGTGAGTGGTGTGAGTTGGTTACCTGAACAAAACCCTGAGGGTCATAGTTCAGGGACAGGCAGATCAAGAGGGACCACAAGGAAGACTGAGACAGAGCGGGACCAGAGTCATGATGAAAAATGAGAGAACAAGGTCTCCTTTTTCACTCATATATTCATTCAACAAATGTATTGGAGGCACCCATTCTGTCCCAGGCACGTGACTAGGTGCTAAGGATACAGCAGTGAACCAAGCAGACAAAGAGCCATCTAGAGAAAGAGAGACCAAACAGACATAGACAAATCAACGCATGAAGGTGGCAAATCACAGGTGCAACAAGGAACCTGGTGATGCCAGCTTGGCGGTCAGAGAGGGCTTCTCCATAAGGTGGCCTGTAGGCAGAGACCCGAATGAGGGAGTAAACTGTGCAGATATCTGGGGAAGGGCATTCCCAGCAAAGGTAACAGCCAATGCATCCCCAAGGCCTGGGGCAGGAGGGTGACGAAGGGAAGAAAAGCATGCCATGTGCATGAGACATGGTGGGTAATGGAGGGAAAAGCTGAAGTTCGGAGAGCAGCAGGAGCCAGAGCGGACAGGGCTCTGTCTTCAGGAAAGACTTGGATCTTATTGTGAACAAAAAGGGATGTTAATGGAGTAGGGGGTGTTGAAAAAGGGAGGGACATGGACATTGACAACAGTTAGGGGAGAGGGGGACAGGTTGGAATCAAGGCGCACGACCTGGACACAGTGTAGCAGTTACTCAGGCAACAGATAATGTCACTTGAGCCAAGGTGATGGATGTGGAATCAGTGAGGGAAAGTGAAATTCTGAATGTATTTGCACTGGATGAGGGCTGTGGGTATAGGGAGGAAAAGAGTCAAAGGTCGCCTCAGGGGTTTTGGTCTCTGCAAGAAAAGCAGCGGGGCTGCCATTTTGTTAATGGGATGAGCAGGATTGGGAGGTAAAATTGGGAGTTGGTTTTGGACCAAGAGTTTGAGGTATACATCCAATAGCCAAATAGAGCAAGGTGGTTGGCTGCGTAATTCTGGAGTTCAGAGAAGAGGCTTGAACTAAAGATAGAAATTTGGGAGATGTAAGCATGTAGATGGTATTTGATGCTATAGGTTTGGATGAGATTAGCAAAAGGAGTGGACTTGAAAGAGGGAAGGTCATCCAGTGGCCCCTGTGCATTCTGACATACAGGATGAGAAAACTGAGCATGATCGATCAACAGAGAAGGATCCGGCACTGGGGTGGGATGGAGGAGAAGGAAGCAAGGGATAGCACAGTGTCAGATGATGTCCCAAGTTCAAGTAAAAAGATGGTGCAGGTTTAATTTAATAACTAGGAAGTCAGTACTGAGCTCTGGGAGCCTTGCCGGCTTTGTGCTAAGGAAGAAGAAAGGGTAGGTCACTCTTCGGGAAGCCTGGCCGCTGAAAGACATTTTCTATATGAAGGGGATGCAGAGAGGGAGAGGTTCACATGGAGGAGGAGGAAAAGACAGGCCTGGAGGCTGCAGATGAAAAAACCCACCAAATGGAGTTTACAGCCTCAAAAGTGGGAGGGGATGAAAGTTGAAGGTTAAGAGAAAAGCCGGTGACATGGGAGGATTCAGGTGCCATGTTTGTGGATTCCAAGAGAGGGACAGAAGAGAGGGGAGAGGGAACCCACACATGGTAGGGGGAACAAGGGATTAAGAAGATATATGGCAGCCTGTCTCCTTCACAGGAAGAAATCTGTCCTCAAGGGGAAGGGAATGGCACCCAGCCCTGCCATTGGGCATCGGCAGTGAACATCAGGCACCGGTACATCTACGTGGCCCAGCCAGCACTGAACAGAGTCCTCGTGGTTGATGTGCAAGCCCAGAAAGTCCTACAGGTACGTCTCTCTAAAGGAGTGAGGGGGCTTCCTGCTCTGGGGCACAGCCGGTCACATTTCTCTTGGCTTCCTGCACATTCCCCAGCTCCTAGTACACACAGTCAGAATAGGGGTGGGGCCGGGAAAGGGGCAGCAAAGAAGGTTCCTGGGCAGTTAGTCATCAGTATTTATTGCCTACTATGGGCCAAGCACTGTGCTAGATTCTTGGAAAATAGCCATGAGCGAGAAGTGAAGTCCTAGAATTTAAAATCTAGTCTGGCAGACAGACCATAAATCAGAATTTTAGAGAGCTGTAAATTGTAAGAGCTATTATTTACAGGTCAAATGTGACAAAGGAAATGGCAGACTTTTTAAAAATGTTATTAGTGTTTATTTTTGAGAGAGAGAGGCAGACACAGAGACACAGAATCTGAAGCAGGTTCCAAGCTGTAGGCACAGATCCTGATGTGGGACTTGAACCCACAAACCGAGAGATCATGACCTGAGCTGAAGTTGGTCGTTTAACCGACTAAGCCACCCAGGCACCCTGGAAGACTCTTTAAAACTTGTGCTCACACTGGAGGTGAACAGATTGTGATATAAATGCCAAGTGGGACTCTGATTCTGGAAGCAAAGGGAAGGCCACTGAGGCTAGAGTACAGTGAGAAGGGGGAGAGTGGGGTGCTGTGAAGGTGGGACTTGGTTTACCCCTAAGGCACTGAAGAGTTTTCATCTGGGGAGTAACCTAATCTGACTTATGTTTTTAAAGAGTCGGTCTTTTTTTTTTTTTTAATGTTTGTTTATTTTGAGAGAGAGAGAATCCCAAGCAGGCTCCACGCTGTCAGCACAGAGCCAGACACAAGATTCAGCCTCACGAACTGTGAGATCATGACCTGAGCTGCAGTCAGGAATCAGATGCTTAACTAACTGGGCTACCAGACCCCCCTAAAGAGTCAATCTTTTAAAGAATTAGTCTGACTTGGATTTTTAAATAAGCGGGCTGTGTTAGGACAGACTGCAAGGCAGGATTGTGGCTACTAAAATAATCCAGGCAAGAGATGCTGACAGCAGTGGAGGTGGTGAGATCTGATCAGATTCTTGATAGATTTTAAATGTGGAAAGATTTTCTGCTGCGTTGAATGTAGAGAGGGGACTCAGGTTGTTTTGGGTTTTGTTTTTTTAACTTAAGAAACTAGAGAAGGGGCCCTGGGTGGCTCACTCCGATAAGCATCCAGCTTCAGCTCAGGTGATGATCTCACGGCTCATGAGTTTGAGCCCTGCATCAGGCTCTGGGCTGACACCTCAGAGTCTGGAGGCTGCTTCGGATTCTGTGTCTCCTTCTCTCTCTCTCTCTCTGCTCCTCCCCCACTCACACACTGTGTGTGTCTCTCAAAAATATTTAAAAATTTTTTTAAAAAAGTGTAGAATGATGCCATGGCATTGGATTGAATAATGGCCCCAAGATGTACAATTCTTAAACCCCAGAACCTATGAACATCACGTTATAGGGCAAATGGGACTTAGCAAATTTATTACCTGGATGAGTTCTGAATGCAAGTGGAATTATCCTTATCAGAGAAAGGCAATGGGAGGGCTAAAGCACGCTGCTGGCTCTGAAGAATTGGGAAGGGGCCACGAGCTAAGGAATGCAACTCTAGAGTCTCGAAAAGTCCAGAGAACACTGCTCTCCCAGAGCCTCTAGAAGGAGCACTGCCTTGCCGACATACTTGTTCAGCCCAGGAAACTTAATTTTAGACTTTCAGCCTCCAAAACTGTAAGAGAACAGATTTGTGTTGTTTAAGCTACTAAGGTTGTGGTAACATGTTACCATAGCAAAAGGAAATGAACGCACCATATAGAGACTTTGGGCAAGGTAGGGGGTGCATGCCCTGGAGCAGGTAGACAGGAAAGTGAGGAATTTGGGTTTAGGTCTGTCAAGTTTAAACTGCTATTATAAATGTAAGCAGAGATGTCAAGCGATTGGACAAACAGATCTGGAGTCCAAGGTGAGGCCTAGGCCAGAGATAGCAGTGTGGGTATCATCACCATACAAACTGCTAAATCCACAGAAAGGAGGTCAAGGTTGGAGCCCTGAAGCACTCTAACACTTAAAGATCAGGAAGGAGAGAATAAGCCAACAAGGAGACCAAGCAGGAGTAACCTGAAAGGTAGGAAGAAAATTTGGGTCTGTGGGGAATGGGGGTGGGAGGGGCGGATGCCAGAAACCAAAAAAAGAATTTTTGTACTATTTATTTTTGAGAGAGCTAGAGATAGAAAGCTGTGCAAGCAGGGGAGGGGCAGAGAGGGGATCCAAAGCAAGCTCTGCAGAGAGCCTGATGAGGGGCTCAAACTTACAAACTGTGAGATTATGACCTGAGCCAAAGTCAGATTGCTTAACCAATCAGCCACCCAGGCGCCCCAAAAGAACAATGCTTTAAGGAAGAGTTTGTGGTCAGTGGTGTCAGATACAGTGGAAAACATTTTCATGTCACTGACCATTCGATAAGGTATCACATGGATCACCTTGGCAGGAGCAGATAAAATGATCATGGAATACAAGCTTGAGGTATTAGAGATGGTGAATAGAACCTACCATTTTGGGGAGTTTTCATGTAAATATGAGTAAAAGGAGTCAAATGAGGCAGTAGCCTGAAGAACATGCCAAAGAAACTTTTTTAGAATAGTTGACATTACAGCATATGTATATATCTATGTATATATGTATGTAAGTAACACTAAGAAAAAAACCTCCCACACATCTTCCCTTTCTTCTGCATCACTGAAGTGGGCAGGAGTATGGAATCCAGAGCAGAGAAGTAGAGATACTAGCTTTAGATAAAACACATTCTTTCATGTAACTGGAGAAAATAGAAAATACTCAGGTACGCTTACAAAGAGGTGACAATTAATTTGGTTGTAGTTGGATGCACATCTCTTCTGGTTGCTTTTATTTTCTCAGTGAAAAAAAAAAGGGGGGGGGAAATTATCACCAAGCCCGGAGGTCTGGAGAGAGAGGTGAAGGTTGCATGTGAGATTGAACTGACCAGGGAACTCTTAGAGGACTGCTGGATGAAATGTGAGCAAGGTTGTGGTTTTCTTCCCTGCAGTGTCCAGGTACAGATACGTTGTAAGGGGACCTTTGGATATAAGCAGAGTTGTAGTTTCTTGTGGCCAGTACCGCAGAAGACTTTCTGTTACTGTTTTTTTCTGGGCAGAGAACATACTCTGAAGCATTTCAATCCTTAAAAATTCGTTGAAGCTTGCTTTATGACCCAGTGGATGATCAGTGTGGTAAATGTTGCATATGCACTTTAAAAGAACGTGTATTCGAGTGGGAGGTAGAGTAGTCTGTATGTATGTCAATTATGTCGTTTGTTCATTGCGTTGTTCAGATCTTCTAAGTGATTTTTTCCTTGTCCACGGAGTCTGTCAGCTGCTGAGAGGTGTGTTGAAGTCTACCACTGTGATTGTAGATTTATCTAAAATTCTATCCACTTTTGCTTTAAAATTTTAATAACTTCCTGGGGCAAAGACTTCTTTGTTCTTGCAAAATATCTCTATGTCTGGCAATACTTCTGGCTTGAAGGTCCATTTTTGTCTAATTCTAGATTTCTTTTGATTAGTGTTAACATGGTACAACTTCCAATCCTTTTACTCCCTATGTCCACACATTTAACGTGGCCTTTTATAAACTCCATGTATTTGGGTTTTGGCCTTTGTGTACTGTAATAATCTTGGTCTTTGACTTGAATCATTTGATCCATTTATATTTAATGCAATTATATAGTTAAATCTACCTGTTCTGCTTTATAACGTGCATCCTTGCCTCAGTATAGTCCTGAACAAATTATTACTTCACTTCCCTAATAATGATAGAACCATACACTAACTCACTCCTTTAACTCCTCTCCTGCCTTTTGCATTATTGTGGAAGTGAATTTTGACTCTATATGTAATTTAACCCCACAAGACATGAGTTAGTATTATTTTGTGCAGTTGATAGTCATTTATATTCACTTCTATATTCACTTTCTCACTGCTCTTCATTCCTTCTTGAAGCACACAGTTTAGTCTGGAATCATTTTTATTGCTTAAGAGTTCTTTTAGTGCAGATCTGCTGGCAATACATCCTATTTTCACTGGAGATAGAATTCTACCTTGGTAATTATAGTCCGCATTTTAAAATGCTGTTCCCTTGTCTTCCATTGTTTTTGTTAATAGGTCACCTGCCAGGCTTATTGTCACTCTTCTGAAGGTCGTGTATCATTTTGTTTTCTGACGACTCTTCAGATTTTCTCTTTGTTCCTTAGCAGTTCTACTATGATGTGCCCATGTATGGTGTTCTCTGTACTTATTCTGATTTGGGAGTCCTAATGGTTCTTGAATGTGTGGCTTGATACCTTTCATCAGCTTGGAATTCTCTCTCATGGCTTCTTTAGAAACTCTGTTAAAAAAAAAAAACAAAAATCTTTTGACTGTGTCCCACTCATCTGTTTTAGTCTTTTTTTTTTTTCATCCTTTTTTGTTTGTTTGTTTCTTTGTACTTTGAGTATGTTCTATCAATTTGTCTTTAAGTTCACTAGTCCTATCTTCTGCTAGGTCTAATATCGATTTAACAGAACCTAATTATTGAGTTCTTAATTTCAGGTATTGCATTTTTCTACTTAATTCTACCTAGGTATATCAAATTGTAATTATCTTTTTTATGTTGTTTTTTGGTCTCATAGTCTATATTGTAGTGTCTATTAATGTTTTAAATGCCAGATACTCCATATATTAAAAAAAAAAATACTTGAAATGGCTGTCCTCTTCCTCTGCTAGGCAGAGAGAGTAGAGAAAGAATCATTTTGATCTAATAAAATGCTAAGTTGAAACAAGGTTTAACTGAATTTTTTTTAAGCCTTACTCTGCCTCTGATTTATTCCTAAACCTAGAAGTTAGCCCTACAGGGTTTTTAACTGTGAGCCTGGTATGTTCTTCAGGATCTTTTCCCTTCCATACCTTTGCTCCTCAGCATATTAAGACTGTGAAACACTGTTCTGAATTTAGGAGATTATTGGTTTAGCTCTTCAGTCTGCTACTCCACACCACCTCAGAATGAGAATATGAAATGCGATCAGCAAAGTGTAAATAGAGAGAGAAGGCTGTAGTGCAAACACTAGGGGAATTTTGCTGTGAAGAAGAGAGACAAATCAAGTAACTTGAAGAGAATGCATAATCAAGTGGGTTTTTAAAAGAGGTGAAGAAACTAGAGACAATATCAAGATGGTATTATTGGTAGTGGGTTAAGAAGCTCTGGGTACAAGAAGATCATGCCAGATGCCAGAGCCTTTAGCACATGAAGAGAAGCAACCAGGAAGCTGGGAGATGCTGGGGTAGGTGAATGTAGGAAGAGGCTCCAGGGACCAAGGGCTTTACATTAGAGCAACAACAAAAAAAAAGAAAAAGAAAGTCAAAGGGGGGGTGCCTGGGTGGCTTACTCGGTTGAGCGTCCGACTTTCGCTTAGGTCATGATCTCGCGGTTTGTGGGTTCGAGCCCCGCGTCGGGCTCTGTGCTGACTGCCGGCTCAGAGCCTGGAGCCTGTTTCAGTCTGTGACTCCCTCTCTCTCTGACACTCCCCTGCTCACGCTGTATATCTCTCTCTCTCTCTCCTAGAAATAAATAAAAATATTTAAAAAAAAAAAAAGTCAAAGGGGACTCCACAAGTAGTAATGAATGGAGAAGAAATTTAGGTCAGCAGGGACTGACAAAAGTCAAGAGTTCAGTTTTGTATTTGTTAAGTTGAGGTCGTCAACAGAGGAATGAGTTCTAAAGTCATCAGAGCAGAGCAGGTTATCTGAAGCCATGAAATCAGATGAACTCACCCAGAGAAGGGATATAGACAGACAGAAGGTGGTCAAAGAGGAAGACCTGAGACATGCCAACATTTTGAAATCAGAATGAGCAAGGGAAGCTAGGGAGATGGGAAGCTGACAGAAGAGAAGTTTTCTAGAAGGGAATAGTTAGCCATGTGGAATCTTGCCGAAATGTCAATAAAGGGGAGGATCACCAAGTGCTCTCTGAATCTGACATAAAGATCTTCAAACAAGTCAGAGGAGTGATGAAGACAGAACCTTGATGGGAATGTTAAAGAGAAATGGATCAGGAACTCCACAGCCAGTTCTTCAGAGAAGTTTTGACCAAGGAGTCAAAGGGGGGTAGAGGTGGGTTTCTCCCCCAGAAAGTCTGACATCTTTAGTGAACAAAGGGAGTGGCTAAGATGTGGACCAATTGCAAGGAGTAGACAGAAGTAGTAAACAGAAAAGGAGAAAACAGTCTCCATTTGAAAGGGCCACAGGGGAGGCTCTGTTATCCTGGGATAAGAGTTTCAGTTACAGCAGTTAAAAAAAAAAAAAAAAAAAATGTCTGCCTGATCCTACAGTCTGGGTCCCAGAGGCTACAGGTGAAGGATGTACAGAACATACAGACAGAGGCCGTGAAAAGAGACGAGGCAGGGGATAATGTATGATCGCTAAGTTAGTCTCAGATGACACAGAAGGAAGGGCCAACTCACCAGCGTCCCAGCCAAAGACAGCACAGGAAGGACACGGAGGCTTCTAGGAGCCCGAACAGCTTCCAAGAACGATTACCCAAGGGTCCTGCAGCTGATTCTTCAATGGAAATAGTAAAGCCTCTGGGTTTAGGCTTTTGCCAAGAGGGTCTGCGTCCCCTTTAAGTAAAACACGCAAGACGTTTTTAAAGGGGATTGAACTACTGACAACAGTTTTATGCCTCTAGAGACAAACCCAGAAAGGTGGCTTGTGCCCTGGCTTCCCAAGCAGGCTCATCGCCAAAGCTGCAGGGTTGGCTTTCCACTCACTTGGGCATGACAACCATTTACACAAAGCCCAGAACTGACCACTATGTCACCTTATGATAATGATGACTCACTTGTACCCATTTTTTTTTCAAGTCCATAGGTGTGGACCCTCTGCCAGCTAAGCTGTCCTATGACAAGTCTCATGACCAAGTGTGGGTCCTGAGCTGGGGGGATGTGCACAAGTCCCAACCAAGCCTCCAGGTATGTTGAACACGTGGAGACCGACACCCACAGGAACAAAGGACACTGTCCCTGTCTAATAAGTGTCTCTTGCTACCCTAGGTAGCTAATCGCATGTATCCAAAATCTACCCATCAAGGCTTGAGGGGAGACTAGGAAACAACCTTGGGCCAAAGTCCCTCACAGGCAATTTGCAAGGTGTCTTTGGCCACCCCTACCTTTAAAAGACATCCATACTGATGATGGATAAGATTCTGATGTCAGGACAACCAGAATGTGGCTCCCAGGCCCCACCTCTCCTGATCCAGGACTTTCTTCTCCTTGGGCTGGCCAGGAAAACAGGATCAAAGCAAGTTCTAGATGCAGGCCCATAAGGAAGGAAAAGTAGGAGCAGCAATTATGTCCCTAAGTGGAAGCACATTTACTGAGTGCTTACAGGATGCTAGGACACAGGAAAGTTCACTAACTTGCCCCTGGCTCAGCACTCCAAGAGGAAGTACATGCAGTAGCTGAGTTTGGGCACAGGAGCTCTGGCGGATCCCTGCCCACCTCCACCAGCCAGAGGAGGTCAACATCACCCCTGTGGTGCACATGACTGGGCCTTTCTCATCCAGGGGTGCAACAGAGGATTAAGCCCTCAAAAAAAATAAGTTAAATGCCAGAATCATCCCAAAGATCTACAGAGAACCATTCTAGATGCACAGAAGTTAATTCGTTTCATACAGTGAATGCCTCAGGACCTGAGGGTGTCGTTCTCTCTCAGAACCCGACCTGAGAAGGGCTGCAGACAGAGTCAAGTTCACCCTGTTCTCAAGACTGGTAAGAGCAAAGGGACACCTAGGTACAGAGGCTTCCTCCAGGGGACTACCTGCCTGTCTCCCTCTGCACAGTTGGGCCAGGGGGAAGACACGACTTCATCTCCTATAAATTGAGACTGTTGTCATCTGATGGATGCCATCAACCTGGGCCCCAGCGAGCTGACAAAAAATCCATTACATGCCTCGAAGCCTGAATAAAGGTCATTCAGAGCAGAGCAGAAGCCCAGGGCCGTTGTCATTTTTATTGGCCCGCCCTCTGGCAGCTCCCAGAAAGCCTCCAAGATCATTCAAGGGGAGGGGCTGCCAAAACCTTTTTTTGCTGAAACCAAAAATGACTTCCTAATTTAACAAGGCAGAGGAGTTGAAAAACGCATGGTTTCAGAGGTGATGTATAAAAGAGAAAATATGAGATTGGCCCTGGATTTCTCACCTGTAACAGGAGCTGGCGGACCATGGTATCTGCAAGGCTGAGGTCCGTGGAGAGCAATCCTTTTCCCAGCCAAGCTCTCCTGCACCTGGCAGGACAAAAGAAAGATACAGTATGTGCAAGAATCCAGAGAGTGCATCTTTCACTTGGACGCTCTGAGCAACAGAGTTGAGGAAGGATCCCAGACAAACACCAGATGAACCAGATCAGAGACATCCAGATGAAGAAAGATCAGGAGGAGACTGATGTAAAGAATGCACCCAGGGAGGAACCAGGATAGATGAGGAAATGCTCTCTGCAAATGTGTATTAAATTCTAAATAAGGATGCGGGAATTAGGAAGGGCAGGCTGAATGAGAAATCCTGATACCAGGCTATAACCGAAGATAAATTAATTCAGTAAAAATAACCGTATGGAGTAGAACAAAGTGGAGGGCATAAAAATACTTAGAAATAGGGGCGCCTAGGTGGCTCAGTCGGTTGAGCGTCCGACTTCAGCTCAGGTCATGATCTCCCTCGTGGGTTCGAGCCCCACATCAGGCTCTGTGCTGACAGCTCAGAGCCTGGAGCCTATTTCGAATTCTGTCTCCCTCTCTCTCTTCCCCTCCCCTGCTCACACTCTGTCTCTCTTTCTCAAAATAAATAAACCTTAAAAATTTTTTTAAAAATACTTAGAAATATCTTACTGGGATAAGAGAAGATGTAGAGAATCTATTTGGAAACAGTAGATGGGAAGTGACCAGCTCATTATTCCAAATGTGACAAACTGAATTCTCCTAAAAGCTGAGATGATCAGACTGTGTTAGGAATGAAGGAAACTCTAACTCGTTCGTAAGAAAGGCACATGAAACAGAGATTAAAAGGTGGTATTTAAAGGGGCAGGAATGAGGACAGGTGAACAAGAATATATTAATACTGCCACTCAGGCATATCAGGCAAGGTAGGGGTTAAGGTCAACGGCCCTAAAAACAGCAAATGGAGAGACACTAGGTCTCTCCAATAGCCAATAGTTTTCAAGCAACATTAACAACTAAATGCCTGACACAAGAGCAATTAAAAATGCAAGAACTTAGGGCACCTGGGTGGATCTGTCTGTTAAGCGTCTGAGTCTTGATCTCAGCTCAGATCTTAAGCTCAGGGTTGTGAGTTCAAGACCCACACTGGGCTCTGCCCCAGACATCGAGCCTACTTAAAAAAATTTTTTTAATTTAAAATGCACTTAAATTGTACAAAGGAGATGAAAGAGTGACATGGAAAAATCGATTAACATTGCAACTTGGTTTAATACACACCTTTCATCTGCAGAATAGTTTTTTGACAGGTCCACATCCACACAAGTGTATCTGTAAACAAAGGAAACTAAAAAATCTTGTAGATGTTACAGGCAACATCATCTAATAATTAGAAAATAATCAAAATAAAACCTAATAAGAAAACACTGATATACAACTGCTGGATCAAAAAGGAAGGTAAAAGGGAAATTACAAAAGCTCTCAAAAACAATGGTACAGCGATCATTCCCCATCAAGACCAATGGGAGACAGAGAGGGCTGGAAACATTGAGTGTCTGTGAATTAAAAGCCTCAAGAAGTACTTGTGTTGACAGCAAAGGAAACAACCCACAAAACTAATAGGCAACCGACAGAATGGGAAAAGATAGTTGCAAATGACATATCAGATAAAGGGATAATATCCAAAATCTATAAGGAACTCACCAAAATCCACACCCAAAAAACAAACAAACCAGTGAAGAAATGAGCAGAAGATATGAACAGACACTTCTCCAGAGAGGACATCCAGATGGCCAACAGACACATGAAATGATGCTCAGCATCCCTCCTCATCAGGGAAATACACATCAAAACCACACTGAGATACCACTTCATGCCAGTCAGAGTGGCTAAAATGAGCAAATCAGAGAACTCTAGATGCTGGCGAGGATGTGGAGAAACAGGCACCCTCCTACACTGTTGGTGGGAATGGAAACTGGTACAGCCCCTCTGGAAAACAGTGTGGAGGTTCCTCAGGAAACTAACAATAGAACTCCCATATGACCCAGCAATAGCACTGCTAGGAATTTACCCAAGGGATACAGAAATGCTGATGCATAGGGGCACATGTACCCCAATGTTCATAGCAGCACTCGCCACAATAGCCAAAACATGGAAAGAGACTAAGTGTCCATCATCGGACGAATGGATCAAAAAGATGTGGTTTATCTATACCATGGAATACTGCATGGCAATGAGAAACAATGAAATCTGGCCATGTGTAGCAACATGGATGGACCTTGGGGGTGTTATGCTGAGCGAAATAAGTCAGGCAGAGAAGGACAAATACCACATGTTTGCACGTATAGGAGGATTAGGAGGAACTTGACGGAGGAACAAGGGGGAGAAGAAGGGGGGAAATGGTGGGGGAAAGGGAGAGAGGCAAACCATGAGAGACTCTTGAATGCTGACAAAAACTGAGGACTGATGGGTGTGGGGGGGAGGGGGGATGGGCAAGGAGGAGGGCACTTGTGGGGATGAGCACTGGGTGTTATGTGGAAACTAATTTGACAATAAACTATTCGTAAAAAAAAAAAAAAAGAAGAAGTACTTGTGTTGAGAAATAGAACAGAGTAGTAAGGAGGAGGAGAAGAGTGAAATTAATATAAATAAAACCAAAGAATGAAGAGAAACAGAGATATCCTTCACAAGGCTGGTAAGGGAAAAAAGAACAAATACATGAGAGGCATGAGAAAAGGATTATTACTGCAGATTTGAAGGGATAGAAATAACTGGAAAATAATACATTGCAACTCAGGGGCACCAAATTTTAAAACCTAGAACAAGTGAGTGACAGCTTGCAAAATCTAGCCAACTGGACGGCTCAGTCTATAGACTGTACGACTCTTGACCTCAGGGTCGTGAGTGCAAGCCCCACATTGGGGTAGAGTAAAAACTGACCGAAAAAGACAGAAGCCCAAAACAGAACAGTCAGTATAGGTTTTTTTAAAGATTGAAGAGCTACCACGGAAAAACATACGGCTAAATTTTATCAAGCCTTCAAATTATATTTTTAGTATCATTTAACTCTCTCAGACCACAGGGAGGAAAATGTACAGCTTTTTTGTTTTAAATAGCCAGCATAATTTTAATTATAAAAACTAAAAACTGTATAAAAAACAAAGCTGTGGGCTAATCTCACTTATGAATACAGAAGCAAAATTCTGAACACGGTATTAAAAACAGAGTCCGGCAATGCATCTAAATGCAGGGACCAAAGTCCCAGGGTATGATGATGGTTCACTCTCAGGAGATCAGTCAGCATTCTCTTAACAGACAAAACAGGGAAATAAAAACCTATTACTTTCCATAAATGCTGAAAAGGCACTGAATTAAATACAGCAGACATTCTCAGTTAAATACTTAAAAACAGGAACAGAAAGGCAATTTCTTAAATATAATGAATCCTATTTCCCAAAAACCAAGAGCAAAGGTGGCCTAAATGCCCAAACACAAAAAGCATTTCGATTACTATCAGGAATTAGGTCACAATGTCCAGCATCGCAAGGGCACAGTGTAGGCTTTCCACAGTGACAGGAGAGTGACCGGATTGAATAAAGCCACCTTTATCGCTATGGATTCGGGTTAAAGAAACCACTACTTACAGACTCTCCTGGAAATGTCAACTGGCCCCGCCCTTGTGGTGCACAGTTTGGAAATGAGAACCAAGAGACTAAACAGTGCTTTTCTGAATCCACCAACTTGACTTCCAATGGGTACGTTCATGGGAATAGACAAAAATTTAGCTGCTACATTATGGGTTTTCTGCAGTGTTTATATTTGCCACACAAAAAATAATATGATAGTGTTTCTCAATATCTAATACTAAGGAACTGGTTAAACAAAACTTTGCTTGGACTACATGAAGGTGTTTCTATAAATGAAGCCCTTCCCACAACAGCCAGTGTTGGAACCTCGGGCACTTTCTGGAATGCTCCGTACTGCTCCTTGGCCCACCAGTCCCAAGCCCCCCAGCTAAGCCTCCCTTCTCAGCCGGCTTTGACTACCCTCTTAGAGAGATGCTCTAAGACCCCACACCAACTATCAAGTGACATTGTCTGATACCTAGCAAGCCTTCATTGTCCTGAAGCAAGCCTACAGAGCCAACGAAATTGAGGAGTTCGACAATTATCTTTTGGGCACCAACGTGCTCAGGAACATGCCAGGACGCAAGGCCAAGAAGGAACTCACAACTCGTGAGACAGATGAGGCGTTCATACCCACATAAGTTCAATGGCCCGTGGTACTGCGTTTTGATGAAGTAACCTCTGAATATAGGGTGTCAGAGTGGTGAAGCGTGAATGACACTGACCGCTGACAGCCTGTAATTTTCCATCTCTATTAGAAACTAAAATGACAGGCCTGGTATCCAGCAGTGATTGTATGGCTTCTTGGAATTCTTTGGCATTTTCCCCTAGACGCTCTCATGATCCAGTTTCCTGATGCTGATATTTTCATGCCCAGTGCCCAGACTGGTTTCCCACGGACTTGACATGGAAGTATCATTTGGCCACTTTTTAAAATCGTAGAAAAGTAACCTAATGTAATGTGACAACATTAGAGCTGCCCCAAGGCTGAACATCACAGCCCTCCTCATTCCAATCCGGCATCCTGCCTGCTTATCCCCTCCCACCTCCACCCCCCAGGAAGCATGATCCAGAAAAAACTGAAACTTCAACCCTGCCTGAGGAGGCTGGATAGGTGTTATTTGTTTCCCCATAAAAGCAAGAGCCAGAAGGCAGTTCTATTCTTAAAAGGTAAAAACATCCAGAACTCTGAGCCACGTGAGTCACAAAACTCCAACAAAAACTGTCCTCAGCCTCTGGCTGCAGAAGTCCGGACCCTGTAGACACGGCCACACTATCAAGATCAGAGAAAGTATCTCAGCTGTGGGTTCAGGGTCTAGCTCTTCCTCTCCTGCTCAGAGGTCCTAGGCTTGACCCTGTGACCCTTCAGCCTCATCTGGCTGTGAGTCACCCACCTTTCAGGACCATGGCCTAGAGATTAGAGGCTGAGGAGCACATGAAGAAGGCCAGGGGCCCCAGGCACGATGTCTCTGGCCTGGCCGCGCCCGAGGCTGGGGTAGCTGAGGGACACATGCTCAGCCTGACCACAGCGGGCTTTCTGGGAGGACCTCCAGACCGCTCTCATCCCACCTAACCTCTGACATCATAGCTCTGTTCTGTGCTGCCGGCGTGACCTTCCCTGACACAGGCCCAGCAGGGACTTTCCACACCAGAGAAGGGCAGCGGCTGCCTCCTGCCAACCCCACAGAGGAGAAGGTGTTACAGAAGGAGACAGAGAAACAGAGGCAGCAATGCTCTGTCACTGCCAATTTGTACAAAACACAGGGCCTGATGCTACATTTCTCACAACAGATCCTCTATGCAACTGGACCTGATCCCCGGCATTCTAACTGTAAGGCATCTAAATGGCTTGAGTAGCATCAATGAATGGGGCTTCTGCAGGATTCCTGCTTTCTCCAGGAAATCATGGAGTCACCACTCCCCTAGAGCACCTCTGTGAGCCGGCTATGACAGAGATGCCCACCACGTGGGCCCAGGCACCCGGCATCAAAGGAAAATAAGGCATCAGTAATTTCTTGCACCATTTGACATTTTCATGACTGAAAAGCTCTCTCCTCTCTTCCCCGGGTGGCCTGAGTGCTGAGAAGGTGGGATTCTCAGTTGTAGGGGAGATGGGCTCTGAGCAGAGTGATCTTTCTGTTCTGGGAACCCAGCATGATCCCCCCCCCCTTCCCAGCCTGTGCCTTCTGGAGCTGGCGATGTGCCGCAAGTTCAGGTCAGGCCTGCCGCGCAGGAGGGAGTGATTCAGGAGTGCGTACCCAGTCTGCCACTCCCTCTCCCCAGAAAGGGGACTCCCTGCCGACGACATTCCCAAGGAGAACCCCACTCTGCTCCCGCCCCCTCTCTCACACTGGGGCTTATCCATATCTCCTCCTGAAGCAGCGGGTCTGCTGAGGGGCCTCACCAGCATGTGTGGGTGGTTCCAGGCCTCCCGCCCCTACGTGGATGGGCCCTCACAAGGACCCCCACTCTGTGTTGTAGGTGATCACAGAAGCCAGCACCGGCCAGGGCCAGCACCTTATCCGCACACCGTTTGCACAAGTGGATGATTTCTTCATTCCTTCAACAAACCTCATCATCAACCATGTCAGGTGAGACAGGCCCACGATGGCCTAAGGAGCCCCCCAATCCAGCTCAGCCCGGCCTGTGGCTGCGTCTGCCCCCTGTGAGACTTGCTCCTTCTCCATCTGTCCCGCTCACCCCAAGCTGGCCTGAGGCTCCATCATGAGGGGACAGGAATGGACCCATGGCAGGTCCTTAATTGTCTTAGTTAAGGAAGGCACTCAGCTCCTACAGCCCTCAGGGGCCCGCAGAGGACAAGAAGTCTCATCCTGAAGGTGAGGACCATAGAGGAAAGGCAACAACAGTGGTTCGTACATCATGCACTAAAATTGTTAGACACAAAGAAACTGGGAAAAGTGGTCTCGACACCTTTATACAGATGAGGAAACTGAGGATTAGAGAAGTTAAAACACGGGCCAAATTTACACAGTCATGAAGAATCAGATCAAATACGAGGCCAGGTCTCTTTTTAGGGCCTTATTCTCTGCTGCCACTGCCCATGATTTTTCCAGAAGCCCCCAGAACAGCCGTACAGAGGGCCAGCCAGCGAACCACACCTCTGCTGGTCTGGTTGTCACCACCCAGAATAACCTCATAATGGTGGCCAGTGACCTCAACTGCCACCCTCAGTCCAGCCTGGCCCTTCCCCCTGCCTGTTCAGGTCAGACAGCCCCTAACACTTAAAGTCACCAGTGCAGAAGAGTCAGCCTGCTCTTGTATAAAGTCGCCGCAGACCGCAAAGCCTTGACTTTCTTTTGTCTGACATCAAGCCCCTTTCTCCAGGAAGAAAGGACCCTGTTTTATATATTGAAGCTGGACTTTTAAAACGAGGCCCACCCACTGATCCAAGCCCAAGCAAGGAAACGTCCCCTTTATGAACCCCTCCCTTAGACAGCACTGGGGAGGAGCCTCTAAGATTCTGGGGCTTGCTAAAGAGTGAAAGCCCCCCAAAGACGCTGAATTCAGGCGAGAGTTGAGCACAGTTACAGGCTCTGTGGCACCTCTGTGTGGTGTTCCACATTCAAGTTCCTTGTTAGTTTCCTGCTCTTTCCATGCTCGGTCTCTTTAAGGATGCTTTTAAAGATGCTTTCAAGTGGGCAGTTCCCCCACTCAGAGGCTCAGTTAGTTATTCAAGAGAGGAGTGCGGAGGAGATGTTTCTCTTCTTCCCCGTAGGCGTCCACAGCACCAAAAGGCCTCTCTGAGTCAGGGACTGAGGCAGGGGCTCTCAGGTCAAAGCCAAGTCCTGCCTGGGGTCAGGCCTTCTGGCAGCTTGCCACCCGCCTCCAAAGCGGATTTTGCAAAGCCCAGATGTGAGCAGCCTCCACCTGCTGGGCCCCGCCCCTCAGGCTCCGTCTTTGATCCAGTCCTCCCAGCAGCCCTCAGCAGGAACTGCCCTCCTCAGAATCACAGAGGCTCTGAGAGGCCATCCCCAAGCCCGGCTCCGCAGCTAGCAGGGCACAAAGCGACGCCAGGGCCCTCTAGCTGCAAAGGTAAAAGCTGTCCTCAGCCCCCCTGCCCAAGTTCCTCCCCTGGGCATTGTAAACATGGCCACAGGAGAGGCCGCCCCTCCATGTTCCTCTCCCCCAGGGAGGGAGCGCCAGAGGAAGCTAGTCCTTGTTGGCTGGCAGTGCCTGCGTGGATTCTGTTTAGTCCAGAGAACAGCAGCATCAAGCCCGCCTCTGCGGTCCTCCTCGCAGGTGATGGGGGCTCTTGTCTTTTCCCTCCAGGCGTGGGCCCCCGCTTCCCCCCTGGCACCAGGCCTCGGGAGAGCTGACATGAAGGCATCCCAAAGGGAGAAGCTGTTGAAGGCACTTTTACGCTCCTCCTCTACCATTTCTAGCCACGAGTGCATGTTAGGAAAGCATAAATTCCGGAGCATTTGCAACGCGGCTGCCTTCATTTTCACCTCGTAGATGAATCACTGAGGAAGCCAGGCCCTGCAGGATGGCACATCTAATTAAGAGGCTATTAGCACACTGAAAGATTAGGATAAAGGGAAGAGAAAGGATGCCATCACTTAGAGGAATGACAGATCCTGACCTCAGTTCTTCCTTTTGCAGGTTCGGCTTCATCTTCAGCAAGGCTGACCCCACAGTTCACAAAGTTGACCTGGAAACACTGGTGCTGCTCAAGACCGTCAGCCTGCAAAGCCACGGCTGCCTGCCACAGGCCATGGGCCACACGCACCTGGGCGGCTACTTCTTCATCCAGTGCCAACAGGACCCCCCCGCTGCCGCCGCCCCCCAGCTGCTGCTCGACAGCGTCATGGACACCGTGCTCGGCCCCAATGGTGACGTGACCGGCACCCCACACGTGTCCCCCGACGGGCGCTTTGTGGTCAGCACCGCGGCCACCAGCCCCCAGCTGCACGTGCAAGAGATCACGCTGCAGGGGGAGATCCAGACCCTCTACAGCCTGAAAATAAGCCAGGGCATCTCAGATGTGGCCTTCCAGCCCTCCTTCACCCACGGGGATCAGTACTACATCTATGCCCCCCTGGAGACAGAGCCAGACCTGCTGTTCCTGGAGCTGTCCACGGGGAAGATGGGCGTGCTCAAGAACTTGAAGGAGCCGCCCACGGGGCCCGCGTGGCCTTGGGGAGGGCCCCACAGGATCGTGAGGGACAGCGGGCTCTTCGGACAGTACCTCCTCGTCCCGGCCCAAGAGTCGCTGTTTCTCGTCAACGGGAGACAAAACACGCTGCGGTGTGAGGTGTCGGGCGTAAAGCGGGGGACCACCGTGGTGTGGGTGGGCGAGGTATGAAGGAGCCAGGAGCAGAGCCCTGGGCCCCCTTAAGCACTGCCGAGTCCTCACACCGCAGCCCCAAGCAGGCGCCCTGTACATTTTCACAGACAAACGCAAAACCTGTATCCGCTTTGTGGTTCAGCACTGGCCTCCTTGCAAGTTTCCTAGTATAAGGTATGCGCTGCTAACCAGATTGGAGTTTTTCGTTGGGAAGTATGATTTATGCCTTGAGCTACGGTGAGAACACACGCTGCTGCGGAAAGGGATCATTTCTGTGCCCAGCCACACGCCAGGTCTCCCGGGGAGCGCCGCGGGACCGAGATCTCCTGCTTTCCAGGCTGACGCTTGTGTCGGTTGCCTTCACATACGTACTCGTTGTCCGTCACGGCCGGGTCCCGCCGACCTCACCCTGATGGAGTGGCCCCGAAGCCTGGCCTGGAAGCGGGCTCCGCGGGAGCCCAAGCTCTCGCTCCCGGCATGAGAGCCACGTCCACCCTCCTTCCGGACCTTCTTTCCTCCTGTGCAGCTGCTTCATGCTTTTTTTCCATTTGACGTGGTGTAAGCCCGAGGGAGAGCCAACCAGACTTCTTGCGTCTTGGGGGATGGGGAAATCACTTACTTTATTTTGGAAATTTTGATTAAAAGATAATTTTTTATAATCTCAAACGCTAATAAGCAGAAAGATGCTCTCCGACGTCCGCTCTGTTCGTCCCTGCCTTAGACCAAGTCTGAGAGTCACCCCCCGACACACCCCATAGCCAGAAAGAACAGGGGGCATCCAGAAGTAATGGTCCTCTATGCCACCAACGCCCTGAGTACAGATATGGCCACCACATCAGCAAAGCCTTTGTTCTGGGCTGGGACGCAGAGACCAGGACAAACCCTGTGTGCCTGCTTTTTACCGCAGAAGGGGGATATTTGATGAGCCTGGCCCAGTTCTCCAGATTGCGGGCAGACTGGGCTTGCCCCGGGGGCGGTCTACAGAACGGTGGCCTCCAGGTGCAACACGGAAACCCCAAAGACACGTGTGGGGGCCAGGTGGGTGATGTAGGTTACCCCTTTCCAAAATCTATTTCTCTGCTGTCCATAACCCTTGCACTTGGCTCTAGCACACCAGTCCTTGCAGCTCACAGCACAGATGGCACATTTCAGTATTTTATTACACGTGGGCCCTTCAGTCCCCAGTGATACACACTGCAAGCCCCACAATCAAAAGGATGTCGGGGGGGGGGGGCGGGGGGGACACAGGCTACGGATGCTGCACGATTCCCCTATGTCTCAGACAATGCTGGGCTGCCGGGGCGGGGGTGGGGGGGCATGGAGGAAGTGCAACCCAGCTGGCCCAGGGAAGACAGCCCATGTTGGAGAATGTGCGCTCTGGGACTCCCATAATAGCCCTCACCTTCTCCCTCGTCTCAGTGGCCAAAACACACTTGTATGCTTTCTGGCTTGAATGATCAGTTTTCAAGCCACATGAAGCTGCAAGAAGCTCATCATGGACAGCTCACCTAGGGAAGCCCCCTTCACCCACCAACATGGCTATGCTTTTCCCGTGCTGATCACTGGCCCCTTTCAGGGAAAGGAAGACACAGACCCTGCCTTGCAGTAAATACACACAGGTCCCTTTTACACTCACCTGACGGGCCAACCTAGCATACCCCAACCCGATTTCCTGAAATCAGCCAGTCCTCTGTCCCATGTGTCTTGGTACAACAAATACCTGTCCCCTCCAACTCCCAAGGGTGTGCTCAAATGTGCACATGCGTACTTTAGGTTTTGTTACATGTCCTTAAGATGTAGCTACATGTCGAGAGGATGGACTCCAAAAGCCACACGCTCAGTTTCCCAAGAGCTGGGATGGATAGGCAATACCTCTCACCCTTTCTTTTTATTCCTGCCTCAATCTCTTGACACATTCACTTCCAGACTTCCACTTTTATCACTGCAATTCTCCAACTTTCACCAACGTCTCCCTTTGGAAAAATCTTCCAGATGGTGACAGCCCCTGGCAGAGAAAGAAAGTCTCTGAGCCTACCTAAGGAAGAGCCTACCAACAGCCAGGTCAGGACACCAGCCCTTCTGGATCACGGGTTCCCACACTGAAGACCAGTCCAATCCCAACAAGCCTTTTGATGTGGGCAGGAGTCTGCCGCACCCATTCCTTTGCCCCATTCCTTCTGTTTCTGAGTGTGTCTGAAAAGCATCTCTGCCTCGGGCTGACTCACTGTGCAATTAACTGGAGATGCCAGCTTAGGGCTCACAGCCAGCATTCTGCACACTGTTGAATCTGAGCAGGGATTCGTAGGCCTAAAAAGAGTGAAACCTGCACATTTGTGAAGGCAAAAGAGTAAATGCTTTCTCTTCACAGCAACCAACAGAACTCCTGGGTGGGAGGCAGAGGAAAGGCTGGCCAGGTCACCCCCTGTCCCTTCCAGCCCCAGAAGCAGCTCAGTGGAACACAGTCTGAAAGTCACTGGTATAAGAAGCTATGCAGCAGGTGAGCCTTGCTGCCGGCCCAGCCACAGTCCTTTTGACAAACACACAAGATCACCTAACAGCTAATATTTTACATTAAAGAAGCATTTCGTCTTAACAAAGACACTTTCATAAGGAACTATTTCAAAATTTACTGAATTTTGAAATAAAATTAATTTCACAAAAATTCAACCTAGCGTTTTTTTTTTTTCATAACAACTCACAAATAATCTACATCTTTGCTGATATTAAGGATGTGAAATGGAGGGAGCTGGTGTTCCTTCCGCCCCAGTGAGCAAAACCCCACAGGGAGGCACTAGATCCAAAAGTCCACCCAGCTTCTAGCAATCGAAGGTAGTAAGAGGGATGTGCCCGCTTCCAGGCGACTGCATGGACCTTCTGCACAAGAGGCCCGGGCGTGGAGCACACACTGTGTGGCAAATGCCATCATCCCCACCCCAGCAACCCTGCCCAATGAACCCTAACTGGGGCTGGCCCAGGCTTCTTCCCTAGGTCTCCCAGTCAATTCAAGCGTCTTACTATACCTTTTGTAAGCCCCTGCAAGTAGCTGGAAGGACACCGCAAAGTGTGGCTGGCCAACTACTAACACCAAGCCGTAGGAATTTGAATCTAGATGCATCATGAACAGAGGAAGAAGCTCAGCCCCGGCATGCCCCCTCCCACCCCACCCCTGCCATCTCCTTTCCTCTCCACTGCTCTGTGCAGAAAAGGGCTCCCAGCTCCAGGTAGGGCTCTGGAGGATGGCCCTCAACCCCAAAGAAAGCAACTACCTGTTGCCCTAAGAAATCTAACTGCTGAGGCCTCATTTAGGAGGAAAGCCTGAAGTTAGCTTTGAGTGGCCACAACTTCCTTTCTGTTGACCAATAACCTGTGAACTAAAGGAGAATCCAGAACTGAGATGTGCACCAGATCCAGGCTGGATGTACTTTTCTACCAGGGGCTGGCAACGCCATCATTCCTTTCTCACCATATGTTTCACTCAGACACGGCGAACGCTGAACCGCCCTCATCACCAAATCCCACAGCCCTGTCCTGGGTCCTCCTCTCCAGAAGCAAACCTCTGGGATTGCTGAGGCCACTCGCCCTCCCTCCCATTCACCTGCCAGTCTACCTCACCTTCTCCCTGTACCCAGCTCCTCCAACAGCTGCCCCCACCCAAGAAGCTGGACGGGGACATGGGCTGACAACACTGACATGAAATGCTTTGCTGCCCTCCCCCACCCAGAACCCCAGATCCCACTCCACATGTGGTCAGAACTCATGGGGACACAGCCCTTGGCTGCCCAGAATCACAACCCCCATGCCGGAGCTCGCAGCCCTTCCAAACGAGGTGACCAAGATCAGAGCAAGCTCACAGGTGTCAGAGAAGTCAACTGTTGTCAAACAGAAATTGCCAGATGGGAATAGAGACCATGATGTCTCAGCCAAGCTTCATCCCCTTAGAGGGCCCACGCCACACCTCCGTCCTTCCCACTTTACTCTCGGCCTTTCTGGCTCCCCTCCGATGCCTCAGGTCTCCTGCACATGTGGCTGTTCCACAGCTCCTACAGTTCAAGGAGCAACTGACCTTACAGTCACACCGCTCCCCACGATGGCCTTTGCCCATGCTGCTAGCTAGCTTTGAAGTCCAAGTAATAAGTCACTCGTAGCGCCACATGCTACTATTTGCTCCCGGACTAGCACAGAGGCAGAGCAGCTTTGGTCGACAAAGTCCCTAGCTGCCATGGCTTCTCTCCAAAGTCATAGAGATTACAAAACACTGAGCGGCTTAAAAGATTCAAAGAAGAAAATACATGGTGCCTGTTCTCGAGGTCTGACTACAGGACCCCAAAATCCCTGGTGGGGCTCTGGCCACTTCCTGCTTTTCTTCGCCAGATTATCTGCCAAGGTACTTGAGAATGTGAGCATCTTCTGTGGGCCTGCAGGCTTCAGGCATCAGCCAGACAGCCGGCAGTGGGAGCCCAGCAAGCAGGGTCTCTCACCTGCTCTGGGACTGCAGGCAGCAGTGGGGATTTAACCAAACACAGCGTGTGAAATTATGAAAAGCATGGGAAGAGAGGGACTGGCCTCCGAAACTGAGAGTGAGGCTTCCTGGACCAGCACATGTTGAACATGTACTTTTTGTTGTTGTTCTTGGACAAACCCACAGTTCTCACAGACAAATGCATGCGCGTGCACACACACACACACACCTTCCAAGCTCATCTTGACCAACATGGGACCATCTGTTTCCCTTGTGACCCTAGAGACCATGGCCCATGCCCCTGAGGGCCCTAGAAGGCTTAGCCTGCACTGCACAAAGCACTAACTGTTGACTCACCCCTGCCCCAAGCATGGTGACCTCTCCACATGTCACCAGGGAAGGGTCAGAGAAAGCTGCCCTTTGGGAACACACTCTTCAAGTTCGGAGCTTCCCAGTGAGTTCCATAGGGTAGTGGTTACCACGTTCACCTGCCAAGATCAGGGCTTCATTTGTAAAGAAGGGCAAATAGTCTCTGTTGATCATGGGGCCCAAGTTCTCTCTCTTAGACAAGATACCCTAAATATAAACCTTCATCCTCTGTCCAGTATGACATCTACCATCAGTTTAAGAATCAGTAAGAGGGGCACCTGGGTGGCTTAGTCAGTTAAGTGACCAACTTCAGCTCAGGTCATGATCTCACAGTCCGTGGGTTCGACCCTGGCGTCGGGCTCTGTGCTGACAGCTCAGTGCCTGGAGCCTGCTTCGAATTCTGTGTCTCCCTCTCTCTCTGGCCCCTCCCCCACTCATACTCTGTCTGTCTCTCTCAAAACTAAATAAACATTTAAAATTTTTAAGAAAAAAAAGAGCCAGTAAAGATACTTCAGCTGATTCAGAGAGGTGCAGGATGTCAGGTCCATAAGCCACCACCCCAGACCCCACAGCAGCCCCCGTGGCTGGGCAGCCCCCAGTTCTGGCCTGGCTCTGTCACCCTGCATCGTTCTCCCTCCTGCTCGCACTTTCTGAAGGCCCTGTGAGATGATCTCAAAACAGAAGCGGGCATGGAGTGTTGTCAGAGTGATCACACCGCGATTCGTGCTATCATGTAGCTGAACGGCCCTCAAGATACGAAGTCACATACACATCCTTTGTCCTGTTAAGATTCTCCTGCTCCCCCACCTCAGAAAGCTTTCAGGTCTCTTATGTCAAG